TCCCCCCTTTCCCCTCCTCCTCCTCTTCCTCCTCTTCGTCCTCCTCCTCCATCCCCAGAACAAACCGAAATCAGGATACACAACCATACACACACACAAGTTCACACACACTCCCACCCCAGCCAAAAATATATAAAAACCAAGAACATAACAAATTAACCGCAAACTATCAACAATCCCCGACCACCATCTACCACCACGGCCACCCCAAAGGACCGCGACGCCAACAGACAGTCAAACGCTGATGTTTCGCGCAGAAAACATAAAAGAGATGACAATTGTATACTTTCTAGGACAAGCACGGCTTCTCCTTTCGGTTCCCACGGACCCGGCACCCCACCTGCATGACGATTTATTTGTATCTGGGAAAATATCCTCTCTAGTTAAAAATGATTTAAAGAGTCGACTATACAGAAACCAATCACCACCACCACGACAAGACGACAAAAGCAAAACAGACAAAAAGAAAAAAAATCTCCATCTCCGTTCCGAATTTGTTTAAAAAAAAAAAAGAAAAAAAAAAAAAAACTCCTTGAGAGGGAAATAGCAAATGTTTCTCGCCTTTTGTTGCTTTCTCTCTCTTTTTTTTTTTTCCTCTCTCGCTCTCTTTCTTTCTCTCCTCTCTGTTTTTAAAGTCCAAGTATTGGTCAAACAAGATGCAATCTTCTGTTTTTTGTTCAGCAGACAATCATTTTCTTCGTAAGCACCTTTTTCTCTCCACTCTGTCACTGCCTGTGTGGGTACTGGTTATAAATGTGGAAAAAGAATAGTTATGACTGTAACAGATTTTTATTTTTATTTCAAAATTTTATATGAATTATGTATATCTTAATGATCGGTCATTTTCCCAGTTTGTAATATATGTGTAGAAATTGCCTGTATATGATATTGCTTTTTCTCCTCTCCTTTTCTCTTTCTTTCGCTCTGCCCCCTAGGCCTTCCTTCCTCCCTGCTCACCTGTCTGTTTCCTTTTTGGGGGTTCCCCCTCCCACTCGGTGTTCCTGGCGTGGCCGTGGCCGTCAAGGCCCGGCGTGGCAGCCTGAGTCAGGGAGAGGGACCCCGCCGCTAGCGAAAGCGGAGAGTGAGGCCGTAGTATTCTTATGCAAAAGCTATTTCAAGTATTTCTTAGCTGCTTTGGAGGTGTCTCTCACTCCCCGTAGGGCGCTTTTACTGTTATCTTAAACTGCGTGTTTATCTATATGTAAAAACTTTCTAAAGCAAATACAGTATTCTCCATTTTCTTATCACCCCCCCAGAGATTGGTGTTTTTGTCCGCCCCTGGCCCACAGCCTGGGGGGTGCAGCGGCTCGGCCTTCCCTCCAGCTTCTGCTCGCCGGAGTCGAGGCAGGGTTTCAAGGCTGGGGCTGACCTTACCCCACCCCGAGGGCGGTGGGGAGACCGGAGCAGGCCCTTCGGAGAAGCGCCGGAGCTAAATCCCGAGCAAAGGGGCGAAGGGGGCGCGAGGGGCGAAGGGGGCCGGCGGGTGTCTTCCGCGCCACACTCCACGTTCCCATGAGCGCGGCGCGCGATCGTCGGAACTGTAGCCTGTCGCGGCCCTGTGGGTCCCGGGGCGTATCGGGCGTCTTTCGATTGTTAAAAGGGGAAACACACACACAAGGTCGCCCTACCCAAGCACCCATCCCGAGCAGAGTTGACAGGTTTTGTCTTTGTTGGGGGAAGTAACAGTGGCCCCGGTCGGGAAGCGAGGGAGGAGGTCGCTTGCAGAGATTAGGCCTAGAATCAGGAGAGACTCCGCTCCTCGCCGCCTGTGGGTGAGTCCGTGTGACAGTGTGACTCGCCTTGTGGATATCGATCTGTCTTCTTGAAATCCCTTCCTGTCTTTTGGGATCATCCGGAGTCTCTCGAGCCCCTGCCACACTTTAGAGTTGGTTTACACTTTCAAACGAGACCCCCCCAGATCCCCACCCCCTGCTAGCCAAGTCCCCGCTGGCCCCAGGCCTCCCCGCCCACGCAAGGGCCCCCCACCGTTCCCTGGGAAGGCTTGGCCGGCAGCGCCTCCGCCGCTCTGGGCCGGGAGCCTGTGCCGGAGGAGGAGAAAAAGAGGTAATTTCAGAAAACTTGCCTTTACTTGAAAGTCCAATTTCCAAAGCGTGGAGGATTAGGGAGAAACGTGCCTGGAATTTCGCGACCGTTTCCAAACTAATTTTGACTTCCGATTTCCTTTTGTCCCCATCCTGGGCAGCGCCAGGAGGTTTACCTGAAACGGGCTAGGCAGAGGCGGTCTGGTCCGGAGTTGTCCTGGGTTCACGAGTGGGGCCTTGCGTGCCAAGGGCCCGCGTTTGCAAGTGTGGGGGGGGAGGAAGGTTCCTGCCTGCGCCCCTACTTAGAACCAGGGCACCCCGTCGACAGCCCTCCTGAGGTCCCAAGTTCTGTGGCCTGGCACACAGTGTCAGAATCTCTGCCAGCGCTCACTGATGGGGAAATGTTTCTGGTGCTACACCATTTGAGGCCATCCTGCCCCAGGTGGTAGGCGCTTGGGAAAGGAGCTGCCTGGATTCTACCCGGCTTGAGCCTCAGTTTGTGGATGAGGGGCTCTGTCATCTACCCTCATTTTTAAATAACCAGTCACATAGTTGACACAGAGCTCGGGGCCTGAAGAGGTGCCTGCCTCAGTGTGTGGTACCTGATGGACTCAGCCAAGTAACCAGAAGTGGTGGGCGAAAGGAAAGAGTTGGCATTGCTGGAGGGTGACTCCTGAAAGGGCCTTTTTGTCTAGGGACAAGAGACAATCCTGGATGTTAAAATGATCTGTTCCCTCAACATACCCGACAGAGAAAGCGGGTTTGGGGCACCCCATGTCCACTCCTTCTGCAGTGCATAAAACAGGCTATTGGATGCGACTGCAGCCTTCAGCTTAGGGTGGGCCTGGGCCCTAGGGGTGTCACCAGTCTGTTGTCTGTCTATCTGTCCATTTTATTATCTATCACCTGTCACTTTCTCACCGCCTATGCTTCTACCCAGGTGGGCACAAATACCAATACTTGACTTTTTGTACTTTCTGACCCTACTTATGGGTTCCCTGCAGGAGGGATGTGTGTGCTTGTAGGTGGTGTCTATGTGTGCAATTCTGGGTGCTGAGTTTTCACCACTCAGCCACAGTCTGCATACAAAAGAATGTGCGTGTATGTGGTGTGTGTGCAGATATGTGTGCAGTGCATCGGGGTGTGCCCAGCATGTGTTTTCATGTATATTTCATAGCACAGGCATTTGTGTGTGACTTGGGCAGTTTAT